AAAATGCATGTCTTTTCCTCAACAATCGCTTCGTTCATTTTGCAAGTGAAATAGATACCAATTCTAGCAATATAAGCTGATACTAGACACTTCAATAAACATTTATAGCATGTATTTGAGGCAGGAAGTGATTTCGTTTAATTGATAATTGAAAATCTGTGTTGTTTAAATATCGTATTATCAGTCTGCATAAATGAGTTGTCTCTATTGTCGTGTGGAGTATACGGAAAACTATAAAGGCTGCAAGATATCTCCGTTTTATGAAAAAAGCCCAAAAAAGCCCCGTTCAGTTTTACTTGAGACATAAAGCCAAGTTAAATGTCTATAGTTTGGTGTGTTCAAATTTATCTCAACCTATCTCAACGAGGAGAAAACACTACTATTTTAAATACGTCCGCGCTTTGTCAAAAAAGAAAAAATGTCGTCAAAATCGAGTTCAAAATGCATGTCTTTTCCTCAACAATCGCTTCGTTCATTTTGCAAGTGAAATAGATACCAATTCTAGCAATATAAGCTGATACTAGACACTTCAATAAACATTTATAGCATGTATTTGAGGCAGGAAGTGATTTCGTTTAATTGATAATTGAAAATTTGTGTTGTTTAAATATCGTATTATCTGCATAAATGAGTTGTCTCTATATTGTCGTGTGGAGTATACGGAAAACTATAAAGGCTGCAAGATATCTCCGTTTTATGAAAAAAGCACAAAAAAGCCCCGTTCGATTTCACTTGAGACATAAAGCCAAGTTAAATGTCTATAGTTTGGTGTGTTCAAATTCATCTCAACCTATCTCAACGAGGAGAAAACACTATTTTAAATACGTCCGCGCTTTAAATTTTGCAAATATTTTCATCGCTCGAGTAAAATTTTTGCCCTGATATTTTCTTTCAACGAGTGTTCAGTAACAAACAACACAAGCTATTACGTGTGATATAACTTATTAAATAATATTTCAAATTTTAATTAATGAAATATAATTACTTAGCATTTAAATCCTTTGTTTTCTCGTTTGCTTGTTTACATTTTTTTGTTGCCATCTTGTACGGGATTTTCGGATTTTTTTAGAGAAAGCGCGCGCTCGCGCCAATCCTAATGTGCATCACACGTAGCACGGTCATTTATTAGCGCGTTTCCCCGCCCGTGTTTTATAGCGCCCTAGTTTAATTTAAATTAGCTTGCGTGAAATGAACGTTTAAAAGTTGTACACGTCAAATTTAAGAACAATTTGTTAGCCTGAGGACGGAGAGTAAACTATCCGAAACGTAGCTAAAATAAAAATATTATCAAAAACCTCAGTGTGATTCTTGATTTAAATTAAAAACACAAAATTATCTACTAATTTTTTTCCAGGATTGTACAATCATATGGCCAATTCAGGAGTTAATTGTGACCTGTCCCCTGTTGCAAAATTGCTGTGTCCGTGCCAAGTTTGGCAGCAATAAAGGGTTATAAAGCTGATTGCGCGTTCTAAGTCTGTATCATGCAGCGCCGATTTCTTACTCCTGCTTAGTTTCTCATATGAAACAATTATGTTTTAAAGTACATAAATACACATCGTATATTAATATGGTTCGACTCACCGCACACTTTCGTTGAGTGCCAATCTTTATTGTTTTAAAATAGGACGTAATTCTCCAAGATTTTGTTGTTAGAATTCCGAAATGTAATACGATCCGATATGAAGTATGCTCTCATGTCGAATATTATTTAATTCACTCAATGTAGACACAATAAAAGTGCAACAGTGATGTATTTATACGTGATTTCTGTTCACGTTTAACTATATATATTGGCTTATATCCTGTCTCTGTTTCAACATATCATTTACGAACAATTGAAAATACTTTATTAGTCAATTGTGTATTGATGTGTTTCCAGGAATTTCTATTATTTGGCGTGTACGAATTCGTCACGCGAAAAACGCGTTCGGATTGTGCACGCATAAGACACAGTTACTGTGGGTTTTTACTACCATGGATTTGTTTATAAGTGTGCAACTAACTAACTAAGTATCGTCCTACAATTAGAATTGTAAATATTTTAATCTGGAATAACCGTTTTAGCGCAAATTACCATGGTATGTCAATGACCTGTTTATGCACGCATATATTATTTTCTGATTATGTTCTAGACTAGCTAGTGCTTGTCGGTCATTCACTTTTTAAAATTGTTGATTGACTGCGGGGTAGGGTGGGGCAACGATTTATTGGTATTCGTAGATTCGTGTACGCGTAGCGTACCTATTTTTGGTAATACTGGTCGCTGATTGGTTAAGTGTAAAAGTGAACAGCTAACAGCCAATAGTTAACACGTCGACAGCATATAATCTACTTCGTAGATTCAAAAAGATCCGAAATTTCGGATCTTTCTCGGTCGCCCTTCGGATTATCATCGGGTAACATCAGAGGAGGAGTGGTCACTATACTGTGATGCATTGCGATTATTCCGATTAATTATATATTATTGATGAAATCTTCGCCGATTGCAATAGGCCAGCATTGATAGAGTATAGAGATACATTCCAGTTGTGTTTTTAGGGTAAGTCGTTTGTTTTAATCCTTAAAGCCAATAAAAAGGCAATCTAGCTACGCAATGCTTTTTCTATAATTCAGATTTTTATAGCCAATGTTGGTAACAATATTTGTGCTTTCTATTTTGAATATATGCATATAGAGCTAAAAAATAGTTTAAGTTAGAGAAGCTTAGACTGTTCATTTGGTTTGATCGTACTATCAAAGTAATTAACCCATTGAATTGCATCGAGTCGCATTAATTGCGCACCACTTTATTATTTTACTCTGTCTAACGCCAGATTATTTTACTCTGTCTAATGGCAGCTGGCCTATCTGCCCATGTGTCTAGTTAACCCATTGAGTCGCATTGTGCCTTCATGCGCCCTACTTTAATATTTTACTCTGTCTAACCGGCCAGATGATTTTACTTGTCAAGGGGAGAGCACTGGCACTTAAAGAGTATGTGTAAAAGTTTAAGAAAGCAAAAATATGTCTTTTAGAACGTTCCTTTCCCTCAAAATTTCATCTTTTTGAAAGGGTAGGCAACCATCTTTCTCGTTGCCATGGAAACGGATTTGTGTTTGTTGTTTGTTAGGCCCTGTAGATTGGTTGTTTGTGCGTAGTTTGAAATTTTATTTGCTAATTATGTAAATCCACAACCCAAGGGACTGGTAACGATATTCAGGCCTGGTGGCATAGCCATTTTAGACCAAAATTTCCTTCCTTGTTCGAGAACTTCGTTTTAAGCTGAAAACACATCAAAGATTTATATTTTATCGGTATTATATTTTATTTTGTTGGTTATTGGTAACTGAAAGTTGTCTCTTAGAGACTATAGTTCCTTTGCAATGCCGAAACCCTCGAAAAAGAGGCGATTTCGTGGCCAAAGATGGGATAGTTCTGTACCTGTTTCAAATTCAAGCAACAGCAATCTTTCATCTCCATGTGCGTCTACACCAGCGATTGAAACAGCTTCAATGCGAAAGATTACCAGTCAAAATACTGAAAGAAGCGAAGATGTCGATGGTGCATACAGCTATAGACTGATCGAATTGTCAAATTTAGTAAGTGCTTTTCAGCCTTTACACGAATGTGAATTTGGAGGAGAGTTGAAAGTTGGTGATGACGAGGCTCGTAGGTATGGAAATAGCTCGGTTATCAACATAGAATGCTCTAAATGCGAAGTCAAGATTGAGCGTCAAACGTCTGGAAACAAGAGCCAGGCATGGAAACCTCAAAATGCCATGCACACTAATAGGCGAATGGTTTACTCCTCAATGGAAATGGGAGTAGGAAGAGAGGGAATGTCTGTGTTGTGCGACGTTTTCAATATGCCTCCTCCTTGCCATCATAAAGCTTGAGACAACCATGTGGCTGCACTGTATGAGGCACACAAACAAGCTGTTGCAGAACAGTTACAGAAGGCAAGAGATAAAGTTTTTGCACGCCATAGTTCTGACGAAACAGATGTTGCAGAGATCGCAGTTAGTTATGATGGCACATGGTCGAAACGGGGATATACAGCAAATTTCGGGGTTGGTTTTGTTATCTCTGTTGAGACCGGTGAGGTACTTGACTTTGATTTTGAGTCGAAGTTGTGCAAAGAGTGCGAAACTACAAAAAGAGACCTGGGTGAAGATTCATGTGAGTTTGACATCTGGTATGGTGGTCATAAAGATCAGTGCACTCAAACTCACACTGGTTCGAGTGGATCTATGGAGTGCTCAATAGCCAAAAAGATATGGGACAGGTCTAAGGACAGAAATTTACAATACAAATTTATGACCTGTGATGGGGATAGCAAAGCATATGGAAGTATCTGAGATACCTATGGCTGCTGTGATGATTGCGAGAAATGGGAGAAGGTGGACAAGCGTTCAGCTGAGTACAAGAAATGGCGTGAGTCGAAGGCTTATGAGGTGTGGAAGGAAAGTCATGAGAGTGGAAAGGCTGAGTGTGCAAGAGTTTCCAATTTGGATTGCATTGGCCACGTCCAAAAAAGAATGGGAACTCACTTGTGTCAACTGAGGAAAAGTAAACCAAAGTTGGATGATGGAAAGTCAGTGAAAGGCAGCAAACACCGACTTACAGATAAAACCATTGATAAGCTGCAAACCTATTATGGAAATGCAATCAGGGCAAATGTCAAACCAGGTAAATTGACTCCTGAAGAACAAAAGGAACAAATAACAATAATGCGAAGAGCTATTATGGCAGTTCTCTATCACACATGTGAACTCAATAACAAAGAGCGACACAAATACTGTCCACCAGGACCAGATAGCTGGTGCTCATATAAAAGGGATGGTACCCTTCAGAGGAAAGATCATCATTTAGATCTTGTGTTTTTAAATTTTCTTCTTCCAGAATTCAAATCCCTCAGTGAGTATTCTCTTTTGCTTCGTTGTCTTCCTGGGTATTCACAGAATGCAAACGAAAGCCTCAACGGCCTTGTTTGGAACCGTGCTCCTAAACACCGGTATAAAGGTGCTCATGTTGTGGAAACTGCTGTCATGTCTGCTATCCTTTCATTCAATGCTGGTGCTGCCTCAAGGCAGGATGTTATGAAAGCAGCAAACATTCCAGGTGGTGCGTTTACCTTAGAAGGGTGTACAGCCAAAGACGAGAAGAGGATGTCGCACTCGGTCAGAAAGACAAAGACGAAAGAGAAAGAAAGACGAAGGAAAATAAGGCAAGCCAAGCTTGCAGCAAACCAAGGTGAAACATCATATGCCAGTGGTATGTTCAATGAAGTTGACCCTCTAGACTTTGATGCTTCATCATCTGATGACGATGATGATGATGACTATCCGTTAGCGAGACTTTTGGATTCTAATGAATCTGAGGACAGTGATGATGCACCATTGGCTGAAATCATTAGTAGAAATCAACAAAAGTGACAGTTTGACATTCTGGGACTGTGAAATGTTGAATTGGGACAGGTACATTGTATCCGTATATCAGGAAATACTAGTGATACAGTTTACTAACTTTAACTGCTGTTTTCTCAAAGACCG